TCTGGGGCGGGGCTCGGACAAAAGGGGGCGGGATCCAACGCTAGCCTCACACCTGGTCCTGGGAGCCCCCACCAACGGCTTCACGAAAACTCTGCTCGGTAGAGTTATTATCCCTACTTCACAGGTGAGGAAACTAAGGCTCAGAAAAGGTGAGTGGGTACGCGGAGGTCACAGTGGCAAAATCTGGATTCCACGCGAGGTTACTTCCTCGCAGGCCGGGCCTTGTCGAGTGAACCCCACCAACCAGGCTCCACGACTGGGGGACTGGCTTCAGCTGGCCCCTAGCCTCTGGCTGCTCGCCTTGCTTCACCCCTTGCGTCGTACTCTCTTCTGCCCCTCAGCCTCCCACGTCTGCCTCCAACCCACCACACTCTCTGGTCTCATTATTAGTAGGACAGTTGGGACTTTACACAGACTCCCCTTCAGCCTCAACTCCTGCCCTGGCACCGGCCTCTTCTCGTTCTTCCCCCTCTGCGGCTACTTCTCAGGTTCCTCGGAGGGCACCTCCTCTCTCTCTTTCCCCCCTCCTCTTTCACGTCCAATCTCCTGCCCCTTCTCTGCTGCTCCTCCTTTTCCTCTTTCCCCCTCTTCTTCCCCGGTGGCCCGGTTCCTTCCTGAGCCCTAGTCCACCTCTCCTGGGGCCATTTTGGCCATTCCTCCGCCATTAGTTCCCATCTGAAAGCCATCAGGTCTCATAGCGCCATCTCCAGCCCCCTCCCCAGCTGCCACCTGTAACTAATACATACTTCACACTTTTGACCTCTTACTATTAGCAGAATATACATTCCACTAAGAGCTTTTACCTGCAGCTTCTCATCTAATGTCCACAACTGCCCTCTAGGCATGGGCTTTGTTATCCCCAATCTGTGGGTTTGGAGGTAAAATCAGGGGCACCTGGCTGGCTCAGGCAGAAGAGCACGCGGCTCTTGATCTCGGGGTCGTGAGTTCAAGCCCCACGATGGGTGTAGCGATTACTAAAAATAAGCAAGTAAACTAAAAAAAAGTAAAAACCACCTGCTCAGGGGCACATAGTTGCAAAGAGGGGGGCCAGGATGTAAGCCCAGGATCCAGTGGGTCCATCTGCTTCATGGGCACCTCCACCTGAGTATGCCTCAGGTCTCTGAAACTGCCCTCTTTCTCTTCCCCACTCAGGGAAGCTCCTGAATGGAAACCAAGATCTCGTCTCCATCCCCTCTCTCTGTCTCAGCCACATCAGCTCTTTCCCTCTTCAGAGACTTCGTACTGGTGTGCCTTCTCCTTGAAACTCTTCTTTTCTCTCTTCAATGGCTTGGACCTCCCTGCTTCAAAGAGGGCCCCTGGTTATTCTCCATGCTACTTCCTTTCTCCTTCAGAATATGTATCATATGTATAACGAATTACTCTTTCGTTTCCTAGGCTATAATTCCTATGAAGGGAGAAACCCTGTTTATCTTCTTCTGTAGTTAACTCCCTATACACTGAAGGGCTAAGTAGGTGTTTATTTGGGGGGGGCGGTTTCTTTTTTTTCTTTAATATGAAATTTATTGTCAAATTGGTTTCCATACATCAGCCAGTGCTCATCCCAACAAAGTAGGTGTTTATTAAGTAACCATATTGTATCGTGTTGTGACTGTGTACGTGTTAGTCTGTCCTTCTGGTCTGTGAGACCCTCAAGGACCCCCTAGTTAATATCATGTTAAGTGTCTACTTATAGATTGTGCATCTTTCCCCCATCAGAATGGAAGCTCTGTGAAGAAGCCAAGGATTTTTGTTCATTGCTGCATCCCCTGGGCCTAGAACCATGCCTGGAAAGTAGCACAATGCTCAATAACTATTTATTGCATGTTGAAAATGCAGGGATGTGGGGGTGCCGGTTTGGCTCAGGTGGTAGAGGATGTGTTGATCTCAGTGTTGTGAGTTTGAGCCCCATGTGTGGCATGGAGTTTACTTACAAAATAATTTTTTTTTTTACAGAGAGAGAAATAACATGCAGGGATGTGGCCAGATCATCTCTCTGTCCATAGCACCCACTCGAAGCCCAGGGAATTTTCAGGGAATACTGGCTGAATGAACAAATGGGTCTGTGCTAAGAATGTGTGCGCTGATGATGCCCAGATTCTTGGGGCTTGGACACGGAGCTTGTGTGAATATTATCTGTGCCTCGGCCACACACCCACCGCCAATGAGAGCCTAGGCCCATGGGATTCCCCTGATTGGAGAGAGAATGGTAAAGGAAGAAGTCTTACCTGGAGGCGAACGCTCACGGCCATCTGGTGGTCACCTGGGGAACTGCAGGTATTGTCAGCCCTGGTTAAATTTCACTCCCCGCTGCTTCAGGGGAGACGGTGATGTTTAGGATAGAATGGAAGGCACAGTGGATTTGGCTACGCATACACTGGCTTCAGATCCCAGCTCTGCCATCTACTCTGTGATTTGGGGCAAGTCGTTCAGCTTCTTTAGACTTCAGCTATGAAATGGGGATGCAGGGTTGTTGTAAGCCCTTCGATCTAGTCTGGCACCTGGTAGCTGGGAAGGACTGGACAGGGTATCAGCGGTGGGAAGGAAGCAAGGAGGTATGGCAGAGGGCATAAGGAGGAAAGAAGAGGAGGGCCGCACGGTAGCCCTTTAGAGAAGAGAGACCCAGTTGGCAGTGTTGGCCTCCATCGTCCCATTGATATAGGGCAGTTTGGAGCGTGGAGAGAGTGCCCATGTGAAAATCCATAACTTTGCTTGAGTCTCTGGGGTTTCTCATGACTAGAAATATCACTGCCCTCTTCTCTTTCCTGGCTGCCTGAGGACCAACTTCCATCTTGAACGACACTGTAACTCTATGGATCAGGGCGTTCTAACCAACCAACTACTTCAGTGGAAGCATGGTCACTGATGTTCTTTGCCCTGAGAAGGCAACAGTACCTAAGACAGAACTTTGAGAAAAACTAGCCAAACTGTACAAGACCACACCAGCTGTCATCTTTATATTTTGAGTCAGAACCCACTTTGGTGGTGGCACAACTGGCTTGGGCCTGATTTACAATTCCCTGGATTATGCAAAGAAAAATGAACCCAAAGAGAGCCTTGCAGAACGTGGGCCGCATGAGAAGAAAAAGACCTCCAGAAAAGAGCGAATGGCACAGGAGAACAGAATGAAGAAAGTCAGGTCTCCACACAGGCCAAAGTTGGTGTAGACAAACAGAAGAAGTAAAGATTCTGCCATGACTATCTGTGGTGATTGTGCAAACTTTTCATGAGAGGATTAATAAGCTATGAACATTTTTTTT